ACAATTAGGTAATCTCTCTGAATTTATCAGTACACGATAGGACATGGTTAGGTATTAGCTGCTGCATTCAGCAAAGAAATCAGTTTTACAATTATTGTAAAATTTAATTTAATATCATTAGTTTCATTTAAATTTATAAAAAACCTAAAGTAAGAACCATTCGTGTTGAAGAATTTCACAATATTTGCAAAGCTGCTTTCTTTGCTGAACATGGCCATTAACGTATTATATTCGCGTAACAACATATAAATATATATATATATATAACTATATATATATTAGGTGTTGGAATTAATTCGTAGCGTTTTTAATGAAAGAATGTTATTTATTTCACATGAGCAAGGTAGGACAAGTATATGGATAAGTAAGGACTGTATAGGTAAAGACAATAAATATAGATAAATTGAAAAATTAAATTATTTATTTATGAAATAATGGAGTATAGGAATATGGGTTTTAAAACAAACTGTCGGCAAAAGTGATGGAGGCAAATGGTATATATAGGCAATCGATTTGTATATAGGCAAAAGGTGTCGTCTTCATCAGGAGCATAAAAATGAATATTGTTATGTAGTTGAGATTCATTGCTTCAGAGAGCAGTAGTGCGCGGATGCATTTTGCGGTTACAGGAAAAAGGTCTTCATGTCCTCTCTTAGGTTTCTCTCTGGTAATAATATCGTCTGATGATACGTCTGTCATTATTACGTTGTCAGCACTGATAACGTTCGTCCACCGGCGTGTAATCGGGCGTGAGACTCAACGATGTGATCGTTGTGGCGGACAATAATTTACAGAACGTTACAGAACATTAGCATGAGTATCGAGAGTATTTGAAATCGCGCGTTCGTCTATTTTCTTTTTCCCTCTTTTCTTTTCTTCTCGAAAATTACTACGCGTAGTCGCGAAGGAGCGGGGATAAGGGAGAGGAGCGCGAGAGTGCGCGCGAGAATGAGTCTCAATCTGACAAAGCTATTCTCAAAAAAGAGGAGCGGTCCCCACGTCGACACCGTGGCCGCGGAGATTGGTCTGCCGACTAACGTCTCGCACAAATTTCACGTGAGCAAAAATGCCGAGACCGGGCAGCTGGAGGGTCTGCCAGACCCATGGATACGTCTGCTCAACACCCAGATCTCCAAGTCAGAGCAGAACGAGCATCCCGACGCTGCTTTGCAGGCCATCAAGTTTTACAACTATTCGATCAAGCGCAAGCCGCAGGATCAGGAGGTCTTCAAACCGTTCGTCACCCAGGATCTGATCGAGGAAGAGTCGCAGGAAATCAACAACATCCTGACAAAGAAGTATCATTTGGATGAATCTGACGATGATCGCTTAACTTCTGAGAGTTTGACCGACGAACAGACGTTACCCGAGCTACCGCCAAAAGTAAATAAGCCGCTAAAACCTCCGAAACCACCAAAACCACCGAAACCGCCGAAACCGGCGCCACGCAAGTGCAATGACAGAGTGGAGAAGACCCTCACTGAGATACTAGAGGATTTAAACACATATAGGATCAGTAATGATGAGGATGTACCGTCACGAGAAGAAGAGGAGGAAGAAAATGTTTTGCCAATCAGAATAGAGGAGAGTCCTATTCTGCGAAGGAAGACGGAGTGTACGGGTGTAAGACTCAGTGATGAACAGGTATATGAGGAACTCAGGGCTATTTGCCAACGCGGAGATCCTAACTTGCGCTTTGAAAGAACTAAAGAGGTAGGCGCCGGTGCCTCTGGAACTGTGTTCATAGCCACTGATCTTCAGTACAATCAGAAGGTAGCTGTGAAAGACATAGATTTGTCGAAGCAACCAAAGAAAGAGTTGATACTAACTGAGATCAAGATTCTTAAGGAATTCCAACATCCAAATTTGGTTAATTTCCTCGATGCTTACCTTGTGGACGAACATCTTTGGGTAGTTATGGAACTACTGGAGGGTGGGCCACTCACAGACGTTGTCACTGAGACAGTGATGAAGGAAGTTCAAATCGCAGCTGTCTGCAGAGAGGTCCTGAAAGCAATAAGCTTCCTGCATACTAGAGGCATTATTCATAGAGATATTAAGTCAGACAATGTGCTGTTGGGAATGAATGGTACAGTAAAAGTAACAGACTTTGGTTTCTGCGCGAATATCGACGGTGATGAGAAACGGCAGACTATGGTCGGCACTCCATATTGGATGGCGCCAGAAGTAGTAACAAGGAAACAATATGGCAAAAAGGTGGACATTTGGTCGTTAGGTATAATGGCTATTGAAATGATCGAAGGAGAGCCACCTTATATGAAAGAGACACCATTGAGGGCATTATATTTGATCGCTGCCATTGGTAAACCGTCCATTCCGAGGTGGGACAGTCTCAGTCCGACATTCCAAAATTTCTTGGAGAGATGCCTCGCTGCAGAAGTTGATGAGAGAGCGACTGCTGACGAGTTACTCTCTCATCCATTCCTAGAAAATTGTGCGGAATTATCTACACTCACTCCATTGATCCGTGCGGCGCAAAGAATTCTCCACAAAGCATTTCATTAAATATTTATTTAAAAAATTGTAGCATTCATAATATAATTTCACGATACTTCATTGCTGCATTGTTACGCTAAATAATGAAAAGAAGATACTTTATAATTGAAAGCCTTAAAAGAATTTCGTAATTATTATTACTTCGATTTTAACATCTTAAACTTATTTAACTGCCCTTCGTTTTTATTTTACTATATTGATTTATATGTTATGAAACCAAAGCAATGGTTGATAGTCATTTTAAGATTATATTATTTACATAATGTATTATCGTTCTATAACAATCTAAAGTTATTTTTAATGCTACTTAATTATCATGATCATTACTCTTGCAAGATTGTATCGTGAAAATCATTTGTGAAAATGTTTAGGTAAATTTAGCGATTTTTTAAACAAGTTGCAACAAATATTAGGCTATTCGGTGTTCTAATTAGCAATATTTTTATCATTCGGCTGAATCATAAAAATACTAAAAAAAAGTAAAGTATAGATGATTTCTTTCTATTTGTAGAAGCCACAGTGTGTGCTCTTCACAAAAGTAATGAAAATACTAACTTTGCTAAAAGCAAACGCTAAACTGTACTAATTGTTAGCGGACGAACTTGTTACATTCTACGATAAGCCATTACACTTAAGCTTTAATTCTTTGAGTCACAATTGAATGTGAGATGAATGAACGACTATAATTGGTCAATGTATCTTATGGCTTAAGACTCAAAACTAATGGTAATGGCTCTTTGTAGAAAGCCTATCATACATGCACACGTGCACGGGGGTGCGGTCGGAAGTCGTCGCATTGTTTTTGTAAAAATCGTGCCTAATATTCAGTCGTTCGGTATATGGCTTTGTGGAATATTCGGTATTCGATTAGGTATCGAATATTAAATCTCTAGAAATATCATCCATTTTGTTGTGTGCAATATAATTCATGAAGAATTAGGATTTTACTCAGGTATTTCCGCTCAATGATACTACGTCGATGTGCATTTTACTATTCAAGTTCAGTATTCATCAAAACAACAAATGGAATGTTTTAGCTGTAGATAATTGTGGACAGAATGCATTTTTATATGCTCTTTTGAAGGATGAGTGGAATTTATACAATATTTTATACAAATATTGCATTTTTAATATTAAATTATAAAAAGTTCATAATACAGAATATTTTTCTTAAAAAAACTGTACTTATATCAATGTACAGAACCATCAAGATATCAGAGAGACAGAAAATCAGTTACATAACTCTGATAATAATTAATGAAAATTAGCCTCAAATTTGAAGCTCTTAACTCTTTCCAAGAAAAATAAACTGGATAAGGTTCGCACATGTTTGATAATATAAATTGTAAGATAAGTTCTTTGATTATAACTTGGTTTAAACTAAATTTATAACTTATAGAATTTTTTGACTATATTACTTTCAATTCAATTTATTAATCATTTTCAAATTTATAAGAAAAGTTGTACGTTGAAATATTAGTATTAGTCGTATATGAAATCATTTTGTGCACGAAATCGAGTGACACTGTTTGTTATCGTCAGACAATGCATTGAAAATTAACTGTTATGAGTTATATAACGACAATTATCCTACAATTCATTTTTTTTAGTAAAATTTTTTATAAAATTATTAAGGTGTGCACACACTCACATATACACACACTCATACACCTAACTTTGTAAGACTTTTATTCTTACTTTTATAAAACATTTTTGTATTTTCTAAGAGCGCGAAGATTGCTCAAACATAATATTCATATAGCTATATTTTTAAATAACTGATATATGTACATAACTGATATTCAAGTGTTTATAATGAACGTGTAATACGTATAAATGATTGGATTATTGTAAAAAGTGAATATTCTATATCCTTATCTAGATATTTAAGATAATTTGAGCAGTAATATCAAGTATATATGAAATCACGACTGTGATAAACGAAAGTTAAGTTATATTAAATATTTCTATAAAGTATAATTTTTGTCTTATATACATGATATTCAATTACCATACATGAAAATATTAAATTGTGACAATAGTTTAAAGTATATAATTATATTATAATAATTAACATGAAAGCTAGACAAGTGTTGTCTTCAATCATATAACATATTAAATGTCTGTTGACGAGTAAATATATTTAAACAGTATTGTAATCGTTTGTATGATTTGGAATAAAAAATTATTATTTATATATTTTATCAGTTTTGATAAGATATGAGTATTTAAAGTTTTTGAAAAAGATTATGAAAATTAAAATTAAATGCGGGAAATGCCTTATTAAATAAATACAAATAATTCTAATTAATAATAAACTTAAAAATATCATCAAGCAATAATAATAAAATTGTGATTATAATAAAAATTAAATATTTGTACAAATGTTAATTTTTGCTTTCTAAAAAGACATGAGATGCTCTGATGTGACTTTGAGAATTGCATATATAATGTAATTGTAATATATATATATATATATATATATATATATATATTATCACGTATTTTAGACAATAAATATTTTATTTAGGAAATGTTTTATTTAGGAATATGTTCATTCCATATTGTCATTAAACTAATCCAATAATATTTAAATTACAAGTAATATACAAGTGAACTATTTATTGATACATATTTCCAATTAATAAATTTATTAGAAGTAAATTGGGAGCTTTATATTTCACATATTTTTTCAATATTCAGACATAAATTTATATCTAAGTATTTATAATAATATAACGAAGACATTTATATTTCATAATTTTAACTCAAAAGATATACATGCTTCCCATGTGTTATATCACAGGGTCAATAATTTGAAGATTTTTACAAAAGTAGACTTACATAAATATTAATATTCTAATTATTATTTACAAGATTTTAAATATAGAATAATGGACACTTATTCTCTATCAATTTTTTGGATACCTAAATTAATAAAAAATTTTTTTAATAATTAAAAAATTATACTGAAATATTACAAAGAATGTTTAAAAAAATCACAATTAACATTTAGATTCACTTAATGTTGCCACTAATTAATTTATAAATGAAGTGAGAATGTGTCCATTTTGGCAATATAAATACATAAATTATTTCCTTTAATCAAAGTTTTTGATAATAGAATCATTTGAACTTTACAATGAACAGTTATTTGCAGAACACTCATATAAATATATAAATTGTTTTATATTTTTGATTATATATCTGGCACAAAAAATAGAATTAATATTAATCAATTCTTGTGTTTATTTCAAAAACAGTTAGCAATTATATACATTACATATACAAGTTATATTAATTAATATTTCTTCTACTTAATTCTATTTAAAAAAAAACAATATTTAACTCTCTTGATGCAAGAAAGCTGTTTTTGCAATAAACAAGAGTTTATTTAGAAATGATTAATATGCATCACGTTTGTACCTCAGTGCTTGTATTCTGCCAGCTGTGAGAAAAATTGGATCCTCTAGTGTTGCTTTTAAAATAGCCAAGAAATTAGCCGCTTGATCCTCGTCAATTGCTCGTCTATCGTACGATAGCTGTACTGACATTTTTGTTACTTTTATTAATGAGGAATCTGCAAGACATTGCAAAAGTATTATTAGTTGCTAGAAAAATTAGTTTGATAGCTAGAAAGTAGCTAGAAAAATTAGTTTGGTATTATCCACAAAACGTTTTTCGCAAAAATTACCCAGTTCTTCGCGTCCCGCGCCTACAGCAAGAATAGCAGTTTGTGGAGGATTTATAATAGCGGAAAACTCTTTGATGCCGAACATTCCCAAATTCGATATTCTGTACAATAAAATTGCATATGTAGTATACACGTACACATATGTAAACATACTTTACGTATATCGATCGATCAAGGCTTACGTAAATGTTCCTCCTTGGAACTCGTGTGGTTTGAGCTGTCCCTTCTTCGCTTTTTCGGCTAATTCTCGAATATTTTTAGAAATATCCGTTAAGTTTTTAGTGGCAGTATCGAATACTATTGGAGTAATCAGACCATTTTTTGTCGCAACTGCTATAGACACATCCACTTTTGGAACTCGAACAACCTAAGAGTTATCGATTGTTAATATGATAATTGAATTGCGTAGCTTAACACAATTATATAACATAGTAAAATTAATCGTATTAACCTGTCCATTTTGATATAACGTATTTATATCAGGACATTCAACAAGTGCATGAGCTACAGCCTTGGTAACAAAGTCGTTAACTGACACACTTATATCTTCTGTCTTTAACTTTCCACGAAGTTCAAGTAACTTGTCGATGTTTATATCCATAACTGCGTAAGAGTGTGGTATAGTTCTCTAGAAAAGAAAAGTTGCTTCGATTAAATTAAATAATTAATTAAATTTTATTACAAATACAATACCTTCGATTCTCCAAGTCGTTTAGCGATAACAGCACGAATGTTGGATATTTCAATATCTTTGTATGAAGATGGTCGGTCAGATGGGACAGATATCTCTTCTAAACTTGGCGTTTTAACAGCTTCTGGAGGAGGTGCTATAAAAAAAATAGTCAATAAGTGTTAAATATTATATAGATACTCCAAGAGAGACAGTATTATTCCAATATATCATATTTACCGGATTTAGGCGTAACTTTTTTAACATCGTGTATCTGAATGTACGCCAAAACATCGCTCTTCAATAAACGATTCGTACGTCCAGTGCCCTTAATTGTTCCAGAACTCAGGTCATATTCTTCCAATAATCTCTTTACTGCCAAACCATACACTCTGTACAAAAAATATATTAATTGCAGTACAATTATTCATTTGCAAGAATATGTTACGTTAAATATGGAAATAATAAATAAATAAAATTAATTCAATTATATAAATTATCTAAAAAATTAATACATACTGCCCACTTGATGGTAGTTTTGCATCAGCTGGTGCGGCCGGTTTAGTAGAACTTGGTGCTGCAGGTGTTGCTGATTCAGTTGATGTCGGGATAATAGCTTTTTTCCAGTCCATTCCTTTTTCAACCATAACCGCTATCAACTGTCCAATTTGTACTTGAGATCCTTCTGGAATCTAATAAATAATATTAATTAATTTAAGAGAGAATGTAGAATTTTTTATCGTTAATAATTAAATATGCACAAGAATTTTTGCGAGTACTCCTTCTTCTTCCAATTCAAAGGACATGACGGCTTTGTCTGTTTGTATGTCTGCTAACGCATCACCCGGCTGTATTTCATCACCTTCCTTCTTCAACCACTTTACAATTGTACCTGTTGTCATGGTTGGCGACAAGGCAGGCATGGCAATGTTTTGTCTGAAAATAAATGAAATATTTAGAAACAGATTCTGAAAATGTTAACTGTTGATTTGTAAGCGTATAAGTGCATAAGCGTTATACACAGTATTATTTTTAAATCTAATATATTAAGAGAATTAAATATGTAAATATGTGAGCATTATTTCAACATTACTTTAAAGCACAGTATATTTATTAAAGAATCATACTGGCCGGGTGGTGGTTCAGCTTTCGTAACAGGCGGGCTTGCCTCAGTAGAGGATGGTGCTGCTGAAGAAGCTTCTGCTAGATCAGCTGGCATTTCTACTGTTTTCCAATTTTCATCAGCCTCCACAGTGAGAGCTATCAGAGTTCCTACTTTAATATCTTTCGTTCCTTCAGGTACCTAATCAATATATGTTGCATAATTTAGATGCAATCTATATGATTTGATTGATTCGTTGCTAAGCTACATACGATTATCTTTGCCATCACACCTTCGTCGTCAAATTCCATTGTGACAATGGCTTTGTCAGTCTGAATTTCAGCAATAGCGTCGCCAGGTTCAATCTTATCACCTTCCTTTTTTAACCATTTCACTATGGTGCCACTTTCCATAGTAGGTGATAATGATGGCATCGATAATTTTTTTCCTATTACTGAAAACAAATGTTCTCTATGTTCATCTTCATAAATTAAAACTTTCATTTGCAATAAATGTAGATATGCAGTTGAGTAAAATATTTTTTCTGCAAAGTAATGTTTAAATAAGAAAATCGCTGGAAAAAGAAATTATGCTGAAATGATTGCAAACAGATTGAATGCTAGGTATCGAGTGAAAATTAAAAAATTGATTGCATAATCAGAAAGACGCAGAAATTTGTTTTATCGATCGCAGCGAAAAACTTAATTTATAATTATCAGGCATTGGTTTTCGACACTTTCGTTTAACGTTCGTATCGTAAACGAATAATTTTATCTCTCACAGATATTTTCATAAAATTTAGTTCACTTTTGGGGAGGTAACCTCAAAATCGACTAACTTTGCAAGAAAAAATCATAGTTTTTGAATAAATGCCATACCATCGAGAATAGTGCTGGTGTGAAAACATAATCGTTGATACTTTAAGGGCACAGGGACGTGAAGCGCGATGGGATTAGCGTACTTCAATGACAGGTGCATGAACTTGGACCTTAATATATGCGCCATTTTTATGATCAGGCAAGGCAATGATCAGACTATCCTATCAGCCCGCAGATTGACAGACTGTCGCGATTTGCCTGCAAGCCGTGACTTCAAATGACCTTAATTTTTCGTGGCACATGTTTATCAGTAGATCCTATTTGCTTGAGTTCCCGAAAATTTTTGCACTTAAAAAAACGAGATAGATATAATAGGGTCTTGAAGAGAGAGAAAGTAATAAGATTCAGAATGCACAAAGTAAACAACTGGTATCAAAATTGGTTCTAAAACTGGTTTTAAAACTGGTTTTAAAATTATATCAAGTATTAAGTCCTAGGTTTCTACCAATTTATTCATAATTTGTTTTTTTCCTCAACGGTTTTCTTATTGAATTTGAACTTTGGAAAAAGAACATTAAATTTAAAAACTTTGATTCACAATCAGTCGTGGTATCTTTATTTAAATTTATAATAAAATAATGGAAGATTCAATAGTAATAAATGATAAAACGATCTTGTTTTATCATTAATTATCTAATTAAGCTAATTTGATATCTATTAAATTTTATTTTAATTCAACAAAGATCTTTATTTTTTTTAAGACCATTATTTTTTTGGATTAAGGATAAAAAATGGATTTTCATCGTTTTTGCTCGTCATACAATTTTTATTTCATCGTTATAACAATAACAGTTTTCTTTCCCGTGTTAATTCGCATAATGTTTCTATTAATAATATTCTGCGATATTTCGCGTCGCATCGCTTACATGACTCGTATAAATTATGAGAATTTACCGGTGCGAGGATTTGAAATTTACCGGCGTTTGAAATTGGCGGCGATCGCTCATACCGCGATTATCGATACTATCGATCGCGCGCGCTTGCGATCCTCGATACTATCGATCGCGCGCGCTTGCGATCCTCGAAGTTGCTATTTGAGTTAATGGTGGACTTTTGCAAAGTACGTCGCGGTTGCAAAAGGTAGCCGGTGTTTCTCCAATTTCTTCGACTGGGCGTGCCGTTATATCGTGCACGATTATGTACAGGAAATTATACGTGCTATACAATGATACGTGCGTGTGTATTATATGTGTGTGTCGCGCGCGTAGATTATATCGTTATAAAAACTTATTGCTAAGAGCTCGGGAGTGTGTGTATGTTAAGTAAGAGTCAAGTTGGAGGACGCATAAAAAGGAGCTGATTACGTTTACAATTATCCCTCCAGCATCGGCGGTGAGTCAGTTTTTGATGGAATTATAATTTCTTCATTAATTTTGGATTAGACTCTGCTGACCCTAAATGATATTTTTCTGGAGTAGTTTTTATATATGTATTCAAATATTTTATATATGTATATATATATACGCGTATATATATATATAAATCATATATAATTTTTCAATATCCAGCATCGGGTGAAATGTGGATGCTATAATAAGATCGGTGATGAGTACATAATTGTGATAAAATTATTATAATTTCTTTATTATTAGATCTTGATTAGACTTTGCTGATCTAATATTTTTTTGGACCAGTATTTATATATATATACATATACATATATATATATATATATTAGGTAGCGAAGAAAAAACATCTAATTGTCTTTTTACATAAAATTCTGTCTTATCAATGAATATAAGTAAAAATATTTTGATTATTATATTGAATGTAAATTACATATATATTTAAGACTGTGTCCAAAATTGCACTTCGGCGCTGGAGGGATACATTAATAATATTAAAAGATGAAGTAATATCGCGATATTAAGTTTTCAACTTGAAAAATCAAGCCGAACTAATTAAAAGTAATATAAGATACATATATCGTATGATCGTTTTTTCCGTAATTTCTACTTTTACATATAACAAATGCTCCAGCGTATCCTGCATCGATCGGTACGGCGATTCTTTTTAATTGACGATTATTTAATCGCTCGTGATAGGAATTTGGCACTCTTCTCTTATGTGTGACAACTGCTCTAAACATTAAAACGCCATACTACAATGGCCCATGAAAAATCGTGTATATAACGCTAATAGCAACAGACGCTTCAGAAGCGTATGTATCGTGAATTTCTTAAAATCTAGTTTACATGGTAATTCACACACTTGCTTTTGTCGCCAAGTTCGGCGAATAAAATCTAGAAAGGCTCGATTTTAGCGCGATTGTTTTCTTTAGTGACTATAATAAGTTTTCTACAATAAACTATTACCTAAGCTTTAAGTCTTAAGACTTCTGGGTAATCGTCACATATTGAAATGACACGTTAATTTTATGTTATGTGTCAACTAAAGACAATTTGGATAAAACAAAATAACGAGATCGCTTTAAAACATTTTGAAAATAAAATGGATGAAAACTATTATCTTATCCTCCCCTTACAGTCAGTAAATAATCGTAAAAATTGATAAAAGACACGTAAAAGTGAAAATAGGTTACGCATGTGTATTGACTTAAAAGTACTTCATGTGCCTTTTATCACTTTTTACGATTATTAACTGTCAGGGGAGGATAAGAGAAAGGATAGCTTTCTATTTTTACAATTGTTTTAAAACGATCTCATTATTTTGTTTCAAATTGTTTTCATTTACAAATGGCACATAATAAAAATTAAAGTGTCATTTCTCATTTCTGTCGCCACGACTCATTAATGATGACTACTGAAGAGCCTTAAGTCATATATAAGAAATTGATCAATCACAGTTGAAAGAATAATCTGTGAAAAGAATAATCGACTATGATCGGTCAATTTTTTTATGGGCTTTCCACAATAAGTCATTATTCAAACTTTAAATTTTAAGCAGTAAGAAATTGATCAATTATAGTCAATTATTTTTCTCACATCCAACTGTGATTGATTAATTTCTTATGGCTTAAGATTTAAACTTGGATAACGACTTAATGTAAAAAACCTATTACGATTTAAAACTTAAAACTTAGGTAATAGTTTATTATAGAAAGCCCATTTCATTCCAATTTCATCTCATCGCATGCTTGACACGTTACAATCGCATACTTTTGTTTGTCGCCGCTAAAATGAAGAATCTGGCCGCGCCATTAAATCTAATGGTACCATCTCGCTCACAGACACTTCGGCGAGGATACGCAAGTCTCGTTTGTCGACATATTATATATAAAAGTTTGCCTCGTGAAAATGATTGTACGTAAAACGGGAAAGGACATAACGATATCCAAACCAGATTTTCAGTCGGGTGGGTTTTACAGTCTCTTATACTTACAAATACGCGGTACGATTTGAAAACTTTCGAAAAAGAACTTTCGATCTGCGAAGAGACGCGGTAAAGGTTTCTCCAAAGCCGGAATATATCGCCCGGAAGCGTATTAGATTAGTCACGCGGGTAAGATCTGACGTCCGCCAGATTTGTTATTTAACGGCCGAACGCCTGAATTAGTAAAAAATGACACAGTAAGTCGCGATGTTGTTCGATTTAGTACTTAAAAAGGGATGAGCTCCGTTTGATGATGCATTGATAGTCCTTTCTATCGCGTAGTTACCGCTTTCTGCGCTTTCTTCATACGCTTTTTCGTGTGTACTTGTACGTTACGAGCTCTTATCATATATAACAAATAATGACAACTACTTATATTACCGTATTATTTAGTCGATCATTATATACATTGCAATCAGTGCGCAAATAAAAAGCACTTCCTCAGTATGTTGCATGAACTTCCGTTTTCTTAACTAGTCGTTGAGAAAAAAGTTCCCTCCCTCTTTTTATTTTCTTGTTCTTCTTTCTTGTTCTTCTTTCTTGTTCTTGGTACTGGCAGTAGTTTTTTTGTGCTTCTGTTTGTATTCTTGGAACGATGCTTAGGAATAGAAGTTTTCTCTTTGCTGATAAAGCGGTAAAGGAGCCACTGGTGAGAGATCGTCATCATCCAAGCTTGATTCAGTTTTCAAGGGAAGCGTTGCTAGAGCTTTCACTGTTGGTGAACGAGAGACATGATGAAGCAATTATAAATTACAAATTAATACGTTTATTGAAAATGCAGTCTTGTTACCTTCAACGCTTTTACTACTTTATATATTTTTATTTATCATTTATATCTCGACTATTCCTATGAATTATCGTTTTTTACACACAATAGTTGAAATAGTTATTCTATTTCAATAAACGTATATCGATGGAAGTAATATTGCGGTTGTATCTGCTTAGCTTGATCGGAGGAAAAAAATAGAAGAAAAAAGAAGGGAAAAAAAAGATGAAAAAACAAACCTGAAAATGATAATGTGACGTGCGTGTCCTATAGGGAGGGATGGAGTAAGCATGTCGGTCAGTGTGCCTGGTTACCTATATACACACAAGCACAAAACAATCCAAACAACAATTCATACTCCCTAAGACGAGACTGTATTCGCTGTCTTGAACGAAAGCCATTAATAAAATCGTATAAAAATAGCGTATAACTCAAGTAATGCATGCGTGTTCGCATTTGTGAGAAGATTACGCGTATGCGCAATATAATGTAAATTGCTCAAACCGAATGAACATTGACGTTAAACCGAGCGTCAAACGCTTCTATAAAGGACGTCTTTCTACAATGCGTCACAAACACTTTGTCGCCAATGCTTTGCGATAACCTATCAGAATTGCGTCAATACTAATTATTGACACTTTTGATTGACTGTCGCGAAGGATTGTGACTAGTGACGAGGTGTTTGCGATGTATTATAGAACATCTAAGCGATAGAAAAATAAAAATCATTCATCACAACAGCAATATAGAAACTGTACTCATCATTGATCGAGCGTGGTAAAGAAATACGTTTTTTTTTCTTTTTGAAAGCTTAACAAAACGAGCATGCTGCCATAGATGTACGTAAAAACGATTACAATCATGCAGCGATCGTATTTGGAGTGTTATCGACACGTACCCGCTACCATTTTACTTTTCTCCATTACTTGCTTCGCCAGTATCTGATTGAGTTGGAGAATGTGCTCCCTCTGCCGTTTTTCTTCCACTACTTTGCGTTTCAAGGTGTCTGATTTTTCTACGTTAGAATTATCGTCTGAAATCAGGTTTACAAAATATTTTTGTAATCATTGTCACAAAAAATGATAAATAATTGGAGAAAAAAAATATCGCATACCACCTCCTTCCGGTGCAGTCACGGTTGTCTCTGAGAGCATTTTCCTAATTGCTTCCGCCTTTTTTAAGCGTTGCTCTTGTTCTTCTGCTGTTAGCTCCGGTGTCTGGAAAAATAATAACATATGATATAATAACATATATTTAGAGTTCAATTAATTCAGTTTAATATAATTTATTCAATAATGATTCAATAATATTATTTATACATATAATTCTCCAATATATCGAAGAATTCTATATAAATAAAATATTAGGTGTTGGAATTAATTCGTAGCGTTTTTTAATGAAAGAATGTTATTTATTTCACATGAGCATTAAAAAATACATTAATGAAAGTACTTCCCATCACTTGTAAAACGCTACGAATTAATTCCAACACCTAATAAAATATATTATTTTTCATAATACAAATTTCTAACATATAATCTTTCCGATTTTTAAATCGGAATTTATATTAAAAACAAAGTGTAATTAAATTGATTTTTATGAAATTTAAAGAAATTAATGAGTACAAATTATAAATACCTGCTCAGGAATATATCTCTCGGGAATGACAATTTTATTAGGCGTGCCTAATAGCTGGTCTATAGTACTCTCGTTATACTTCAACTCCTTGTGACTTAACGTTGATCGCACCACGTCAGGAGCGTTTATCCTGGGTCTGAGCGCTCTTTCCATGTCCAGATCGTCCCTGGCTCTACCCATGCCCTAGAAATTATCAAAGATTCTCGTAACGTAAAAGCGAAAAATTAAGGAAACTGCCACTGATGGGCAATAGCACGGCACAGCGCAGCGATGAAAGTCAGTGACAGGAAATAGACAAAGTGAGACAGAGGTAGACGAAGATAGGGAAATGAGAGAGAACAGAAATTGAATGAAACAAAAAATACCATCTTCGAGAAAGTATCCTCTAGATCGAGCACTGGTTTGCTACTAGACACAGTGTAATGCCGCCTTTTCTCGCGAGGAATTTGCCTTCGTCTCGGTCCCTCCACCCTCTTCTCCGTCATCTCTTTGATAATCTGTTTGGCAGCCTCGCTCTTGAACACCGGCGACAATTGCGGCGAATCAGACTGGTTTGTGTTCACCGTCGTTGCGGTAGTCGGTCTCTCGTGAATGCCGACGTTAGTCGGCGATGTTAATTCGGGGCTCATGGCACCCACGAGAGTGCCGATTTTCTCGTATTGCCTGTACGGTCCAAGCGAGTAGTTGTTATAGTGAGACTGCGCGGCGACCATCGTCGCTTGCGACGGATAATTCTGGCTCTGGCATGGGCTGTACGACGAGGCGGTTGAGTAGTTGGGAGAGCTCATCGGCATGTGAGAGCTGGACGTAGGACTATCCGTGTACGGTGACAGAGTGCTATCGGAGCTGCCGTCATGACTTTCGAACTGCGATGGAGCGTCAAAAAAAAATTGTAAAATGCCGGGATCGAAGGGATTAACAAAAACGAGCGAGCGAGACGAGCGTCAGGATGCTCGGAGTAGAATAAAATTATCAATAATATTCGCAAAACTATATATACATCAATAAACGGAAGTAAGGTATTGTTGTACGGAGTGACCTGAGAAGTGACCTGGAATTGTATTTTTTAGGCAAGTTATTGGCAGGACTTACCCTAATTTTATGCCGACGTGCCATCATACTCTTCAGGGCATGCATACTGTCGCTTCGCGGTGGAGGTACCACGGGTCCATAGTGTACTCCAGTCTGCTGTTTTTGACCGCCGAAACCACGTGGCAGAGACATGCTTCTTTGGAATTGAACATCGTCCAGTTCGGACAGCTGAACCGTGCTCTGCGCATGAACAATTGGCGATTCCTCCACTACTCTACCAAGCTGAGCTTTCTAGTTGTTAAAAGATCTGCATTAGTATAAGTTTAAAGAAATTGATGTTTTTTTTTATTAGATTTCAAATACACTGAAAAAAATAAGTTTTAATAAATATTTGTTAGAATAGTTCTAAGTAAATATTTACTAAATGTAAACATGTATTTGTTTGAAGAATTAATTTGTGTGATTTAACTATCATTTTTATTGAGTAAATATTTATTTACTGTAAGTAATTATTTACTTGGTACTATTCAAAGAAATATTAAGATTTAGTAAATTTTTTTCAGTGTATTTGAAAAGACGCATAATCGAAAACGATCTTACTTCGAATTTCTGGGAGCCTCCGAAATCATCATCGGACAATCTCTTCGCGCCGCCTGGTGCCTGGAGGCCGTTCGTCAGAGGAATTCCAAGATTGCCGGTTCTGTCGCCACGGTCCCTTTGTCGCCTTTCCGATTCGCGTTTCACTATGCGCACCGTCTTAATCTCTTGTTTCTCGCGATTGTGCATTAATCCTGCGAAGGCGCGGAGAGAAGAATAAAATTTCCGACGTGTGTCAGGTTTAATAATGTTTCCGCAGTGGAATGGGCGACTTACCGGCGAATTTGTTGTCCTCGTTTTGTCTATAATTATCATTCAATAACAATGCTTCCTCGCTCAAAGGGGGCGGCGGTGGCGGGATATATTCCGGAGCAGGATTTAGCGTACCATTCATTATATTTCCGTTATACTTGCTCGTGTCGGCGACGTAATCACCTTGCGTTAAAAATACAAATCGATACTTGAATATCAGAATTATTTTGTGACTACGCTAATTGCTATTAATTGTTATTTATCCAAATACACGTGAACATCATTAGTAACAATATTTGTTAATATTAATAGGATGAATTTTTGCCATAATCCAACAAGAATATTACCTGCTACTCTTGAATCCGTATTAATATACAGGGGTACCACTTGAATCACGTTACCCTTGCCCTGCATTTGGTCTTTCAATAATTGTTGCTTTAATTGGTGTTGTTGAATTTGTTCGCGCAGCTGCGGCGAGAGCGTAGATATGTGATTTTGTGAGGGTTGTACGAAGGATTGCTGATTATGTGGGCGATTCAATGGGGATAAGTCCTTGTATTGGGTAGGAGAACCATATCGTTGGTGGGAGTTATCATTTTGTTTGTTCGGAGGTGAGATAGACAAAGACGGACTTGACGGTGAGTCCAAACCATGGTCCAAGGTTATTCCGGAATCTAAATCAGTCTCCAACCAAGAATTTTGCGTACGTTTCTTCGAATGATGCACCTGAGGAGCTAAGGAGAAAATTGTATCTTGTAAGCATCATTCTCTTTTTATGAAAAATATACATCCCGATATTAATGTTTAACAAATAATCAATAAATGTAATATACTGTTTTATTTAGTATACAAGGATAACTATGAATGTATTATATTACTGATTAAAATAATCTTTTTATGTTAATTTATTTAGATTAGGACTGTCTAATGTTTTGCCCACCTCTCTTCCATTGTCTTATTGAGCGAAACAGAGAGAAAAAAAAAAAAATAAACGCTAGAACTCTGCCTAGACCTGTATACTTTTCTGTCTCGTTCAATGAGAAGCTGGAGAGGTGGAAGCGTTTAGCTCGCGAGCCAATTATTGGACGAGCCTGATTATGATAAAGTAATAATAAATTAATAATAAATTTTGATTAATAATGACAGTTTATTACAATATGAATTTTGCAGTCTTTGGTTAAATTTGAGTCATCTTGAGTCAATATTAATCCTTAAGTTTTGAAATTTTTGATGGTTTCGACACCTTAAATTGTTAAACTCACCGTGCGGTGGCTGCGGGCGAATTTGCTGCACCAAACTATGAGATTTCTCCGTCAATTGGCGAACTTGAATGCTCAGTTCCTTCCTCTGTCTCTGCAGATCGCCGACGAGTTGTTGCACTCGTCGTAATTCCGCTTCCAGTGGTGCGGTCGTGCTCGAAGTGTCCCTCGCGACGTTACCGGCATATCTTCTGGATGCTTGCACCTTTTGCCTCAGCACCACCAAATCTTGCTCCAATCTCGCGTTCTCGGCGACCGTTTCCTCAAGTTTCTGAAAGCACGTGAGAGAATTGCGGACTATCAGATTAAAAGATTGCGCGACTTTGATCGTTAGCCGACTGTCACATTACGAGAATGGCAACTAAACAGCGAATGACGGAACTGAATGGTATAATGTTGTGAATAATGCAATTTACCTGGAAAAATACTGGCTTTACCTGGAAACAGTGAATCGAGACTTTAATTGCAATACGTAATACAATCTACTCTCGCCATTTACATTCTCTCGTGACTACTATCTTCTTGTATTACTATTATTTTCGCGATATCGCGAATTCAGATTGACAAAGAATAATAAAAGACAAACTTAATAAAAGCACGATAAAATGATGAAGCAGACGTTCACTTCAAATTCAAATATTCATTGATAAACGAGTAACTTCGTATCGTCAAAAAAATTTCTATTAGCAGAAACATCGGCAACAATGACGCGCGTTGGAATATTCAATACGTTTCACGACGTTAAAAAAACATACGAAGAATTACGAACAGCAATTACTCGCATTTTGAAATCCGGATTGATGCGCAGTTTACTTGTTTTTCTGCCAATCAGTCTGCATCGATTTTTAATAGATTTGTCCACGTATGGACCAATCGGGATGCAGGAAGGCGAAAGCGCGTGTTAGCGGCTGTCACGGATATACATTTTCGAAATTATCTACCTTCGAGTTATGGGCGAGCAGTATCCTCACTCTGCTCAGTTCGCGTTCCAACAGGAGTTGCTGCTTCCGATATCGCTCCGCTTCGGCCAAATTGCTTCTGCTACCTTGCAATTTGTGGCGCAACCCGCCCAAAGCTTTCTCGAGTATTTCCTGCGAGCATTAAGTCGACCAGGCGTGTAATGTGATATTGTAGATTTCTATATCTTGGAATTAAGGGCAGCTCCTGTCATTTCGTAATTTATTGTTACAATATCGTTTTAGTTTCAAGCAAATAACGACATCGACTCTCCTCTAAATTGTGAAGGATATAATAGATATCGTATCGGGTCTTTGTGTGGGTGAGATTACTCGGAACTCTTGAAGCTTAAAATCAAATTCGATAGAATTATCTTGAAAAATATTACAGAATATATTTCTTCTAGAAGAAACTCGGAAGGCTTTCGTACATTCATCAGTTTGGTGGAAGGTCGTTATAATTGCATTCTTAAAACATATACGCGAAATTTTTTGAGCAATTTAAAGGCTTTATTCTAAGTGGTCATTATTAGGTTCATACCAACCTTGTCCTGCTGGAGACTATGCAGTGTGCCAGATTCCTCCTGAAGCAGTCGATCGAGTTTGTAGAGCTGCTGCACTTTGGCCTACGACATAGAAAGGATATCGAGTGAACGACGAAACCTTCAAGTTTCGTTGCTCAAAGGACAAGCTAATGTTTCAATTGGAGCAGATCTCAGAGAAAAGGGAAATCTGCCATCGTTAATTCTAGAATAACGCTCCAGAATCTCTATTTTCTCAACACCCTATCTCTAATCTTGTCCGTAAATGAAATTCTTTCGCGAGTATCGTGTGAAAAATATTGGTCAAAGAGACTTTTTAATTTCAACAATATTATGTTCGATAATATTATTATTTTGATAACATTATATTCCTTAGTGTGACACATAATTTTAATTTATTACAGCACCTATTATACTTCTCTATATAACAATTATTTTAAACCTCTTTGAAGTCAATGAGAGTATTATTTGAGAATATTATTAGGTGTTGGAATTAATTCGTAGCGTTTTACAAGTGATGGGAAGTACTTTCATTAATGTATTTTTTAATGCTCATGTGAAATAAATAACATTCTTTCATTAAAAAACGCTACGAATTAATTCCAACACCTAATATTTTTAATAATTAGTTAAATTGAATATTACTGAAAAAGAAAGGAAAAAGGGTATTTCTTCATTATCTTTCTCGTTCGTTCTTATTTATTTTTTATTTGTTTATCGCATGGAAATGCATTTGTAAGACTGCACAAAAGTGTCAAGGTGGATTAATTTTGTTATTCTAACGGAATATTGTATACTTAATTAAATTTTGAGCAGTGAACGATCGTTGAAAAGTCTTGAGGACAAATAATAAGAAGAAGGAAACGAAAAGCGAGATACTTAAATGGACATTGTCCGTAGAGACTTGACTCGTCTAGAAAGTATATTCTTCAGTAAAGTGACTTCTTCACGGAATTTACGAGAGATCGTAAGTGTCGTCCGAGTTCGGTCTCTCTTGTGGTTGTGCCTGCGAGAGTAATTCTTAATTTTTGCACGTACCCTTTTTCCAATCGGCCTTTACAACTTATCTACCGTGGATTTCGCTTAGTATTATAGCACGCGAGAGATCAGGAATCGTTTTCATTGGTCAAGAAAACTTCCATGTTCTGATGCACCTCACGCTTTCTTAGCACGGAATATTACATTGCGGAAAGAGAATGTAATAATATGAGACGTAAGAGACAGAAATTGGAACGAGTAAAACGTATTTCACGGATGATATCTGACGAGATTGAGAAAGCAAAGAATATATACTGTAATAATCGAGACATTCCGTTTATAAGATCGTACACTTTTAATTAATGCGTTTCTAACGCTGCGAAAGTATAAGAATTATTTAAGAATCCCAATTAACAATGATTTCTACTGCGTATTCACATTAATTAAACTAGGATTTTTGTGGCATGATAATTAAATGAATCACCTGCAACTGTCCATGATCGGGACTCAACCTGTCCCAATCCCTACGCTCTTCAGCCAACAGTCGCTGCTCCTGCACCCTTTGGTTAAATTCCAGACGGTCGCGATGATCCCTCGCGTTCTCGTGCAGATCGTGTCGAGAACCGGAAACATTGCTGGTCCCGTTGGCAGTGTTACGATTATATAAAGAGCCCAGTTTCACCATATTGTCCACGAGGTTCACAAGAGGCTTGCTCTTCTCGTACTTTTTTGGGAAAAGTCGAACATGAACTTACATTAAACTTAGAGTACTTTTTAATGTGCAATATAAATGTTAATGTGTAATACAATGTGCACTAACGCTTAGAAACAGTATTAATTAACAGTATTAATTAAATCAATATTTTTTTAACTTTATTATTGATGAACGTTATCGAGAGTCGAAGAATTAAGTTTGAAAACTACGACAATAATTTCAGCCACTTTTTAAAATTTGATAAAATTATAATCTCAATTTGTTTAACTTTTATATAATTCCTATATTAACTTATATATTAATTCCTCTCAAATCTTTTCAAAGTTAAGTTATTTATTCTTTTTCTATTGATTGCTAAAATCCATCGTTTCATATCTATGTAAATATTTCGAGGTAAATCTCCGCAAGGTATATTTCACGTGTCTCACCTGCTTCTCGAGATCCATCAGATGCCTCTTGAGTTCCTCGAGTTTTTGAAGATTTTCTAACCGTCTCGGCGTGTCGAGGTCCGCCAGTCTAGCCTGCGGGTGCAAACAAAATACACGAAACGTTTATCGCGTTGCATCAGAGATTCCTTTGCTCTCCGCGTCAAAACAAACAACATTTGCGTTTTCGCGCGTTAAGCGACACGTTACTTCATGACATACAACGCAATAAAGCCGGACAATAAACACATATTTGCGTAGAAAGGCGACCCTAAGTTCGACTCGACTTTCTCCTCGAATCTCGCATGTCGCGAGATCACAGGTATATATTCATCTATGTCCCACATTTGACGTTGAACATAATCATTTGATAATGTTCTTTAAAGATCGTGATTTTTTTTTAGTCCAATAGTCCATGAAGCTCCGAGTCGAGACTCGGGGCTAAATATAAGACGTGAAAGAACCAATGTATCGCGCTTGCCTAGCAGTCAATTACACTTTGTGGATCGCAAAGTCCGTAAAGCGCAATTGAATACGTTCAATCCGTTTGTTTGCGCGCGAGCGTTACGTCACGTTGTCAACTATGAAAGAAACAATATTGATTACTCATACTGTATTATCGTCACGTGGATTCACAATCTGCGTGCATCTACAACATATCGATCTATTCCAACACATCCTGAAAGATCTCGTCAAACTGCACGATCGTCTGTCAAAGCGATCTTTATTTCTTTCTCTCTTCCTCTCTCTCTCTCTCTCTCTCTCTCTCTCTCTCTCTCTCCCTCTCTCTCTCTCTCACACTCACTCACTCTATAAAGCGAGCCCCTTCTCTCTCTCTCTCTCTCTCTCTCTCTCTCCCCCTCTTTCTCTCTAACATTAAAGCAATCATTAAAAAGCGACGCTCCTCGAGCTCGAGGAGCCTACGACGTGTCCCTCCAGACGACTCCGGTTTGCCCGGACCCCTAAAGGGACCCACGACCGCCATCGTCACCGTCACCGTCATCGTCACCGTCCGTGGATCATCTAATTACTGTGAAAATTTCGTGAGATCGCGTGCAAAAGCTCTCTTCGGACCTGCGCCTCGATCTCCATGTGGCACGTCTCCATCGCCTTGAGGACCGTCGCGTTCTGACGTCGTAGCTGGATCAACAGTAGCACCAGTTCTTCATGGGTCCTGCCGAGGAGCTCGCCGGCGGAGACGCGCACCAGTCCGGATGCGCCAGTCTGTGTCACCAGCCTGCCGCTGGCATCCGCTCTCAGGGAGCTGATGTTACTCTGTCGAGGCATGCAATCGTTTGTTAGCCACACACGCAAACAACGCAATCGAGCTGTGACATATGGAATTGTTACGTTATGGAGCCGCGAGGATTGCTCAAGGTATCGCGTGAGCTTTCGTACGATGGAGAAATGAGAGGACGAGGCTTTTGTTAGAGAAAGCAAAGCGACGGATTAATTTTACAATTATACACGGAACACACCGAGCGTACGTGGATTTGATTGGCATGGAAGAGGAGAAAATATTATCATCGACAGCACGAGTTAAATTACCATCAACATTTCACAGTTGCGCCAACGTAAACGGCAAAATATTGTAGCTACTATTGTCCTAAATCATTCGATTCAGTGAGATCTTTCAGAATATGCAATAACTTGTTTATATACCATTGACATATTTTTCTCTTTCCCATATCTTCCCTCGCCTACGTAAATAATAAACTATCGCGTCAATATAATATAAAGATGTGTATAGAAATATATACGTGGTCATCTAGTTTCATGGATCATAACTAATAAAACGGTGGAAACTGGTCGGAAACAGATTCCACGCGAATGTGAGAAATAGAGAATGTGGCGAGCCACACTGACCCGAATTACAAGGTAGCCCGTTTAGCCGTATCGAAATTTCAGCCGGCGGTTTTACGTCAGTTGTGTCTGCGAGATTGTATGCAAACTTTTTAACTGCTGGAATTTCTCGGCGAGAGCCTAGGCAAGAGGGGATTACCGCTTAGCCGATTTCCCCGTCTGCCATTTTGCATTCGTCCCCGCTGTGTTCCAAAACCGCTACGTTTTAGTGGCTTTTACGGTTGGATTTGTGGTAGCTTCAGAGATGAAGCGAGAGGTGGACACATCCGACCGGGTCGTGTAATACAACGGAAGGCAATGTGACGTAAAGTGGAACGCGATACAAATAATTGCTGAAATAACAGCAGTTATCGAAGAGTAATTTGTTTAATATTTGCACTGCGCGAGGCAATTGTAAATAAATAATAATAAAGTGACACGCTATCAATTTACGTGTAACTGCATGACTCATTCAGCTGAGTATTTACCCGCATTTATGTCAAACAATATCGTTTGTGTATCGATATTATTTCGTCAGTGGAATGAAATTTAGAATTTATTTCTGATCGTATAAATATCCCTTTAGCTTAAATTTCCTTTTAAATCGCTCGGTACAAAAGTATCATGTAAGAATCTCTTTATATTTATATCTCTGACCATTTCCTCTCTTTTATATCTCTTAATTTTAAAAAGTAACTAGTTCAGACGTGTTTATCTATAACGTTCGACTTTCGAGTAATTTCGAAGCTTCGAGCAAATTAGCTGAACGGTCGTATCTTTTGTGCGCCATTGCAAGAATTTCTAAAGATCGTAGAAAAGAATTTCTAAAGATCGAAGAAACGGAGGGCGAGCTATAGTTTTCTATTACTTTCCAATTTTCTAATACGCCTCTCTGGCCGAGGGAGACCAGCCAGAGGCGACGTACAAATTCTCATAGACATATCGACACGGACGAGCGCAAACAGATACAGGTCATGCCGAGGTTCGATGCACGTAGCGTTGCAGCGTAGAAATGTAGGAATGAAATTCGTACAGCAATCACCATTGGATCGTAGTTTTTCTTTTAGTGAAACGAAAATACGCCTTCTTTATTTTAACAGACAGGTCCCAAAAGATAGCTCGTACGCTCTTCGCATTCCACTGGAGTCCTCGCTGGTCGCGGTATCTTTGCGAGGTCGTGCAATCTGTATTCGCGGGATATACCAAAGCGAGATCGAGGGCATTCCCTTGTCAGGAATGGTCGCTCAACGAATCCTAAATCCTTCGCCACGCGTTGAAATACGTCAACATGATCGCGCGATACACGACGAAGGAACATCGCGAAAAGGAAAGGCACGCTCACGCTTGCTCATTGTATCGCCAAGGACAATTCCTCCTTAAACAAGTAGAGTTCTTGTAGAAAGCTAAGGAATTTTCAATTTGCCGCATTCTCTTGCGGCTGCTTAATGCCTGTCGACTTTTATCTTCCACGTATAATTCAGAGTTCGCCACAAAACTGGAAATCAGGGAATTAAGGCAATTGAAAACAGTCAGGGAAATCAAGGAAAAGCGACGTCAGGAAATTTTCTAAAAGATTAAAATTCTTGGTTTTAAAGAAGTTTTATATACGTATATCACACCTATGCAGTTTTGGAATACTATCAATTTAATAATTAAATGCAAACAGTGTCAGTAATTTTTTACGAGCATTAACAGTAATTTACATTACTATGTTAAATTGCTCTCTCAATAAAATATTTAACAGTTTCCAAGTCAGAATGAATTAAATATAAAAAAATTTCAAAATATTGAAATTCAGAAAAAAACATGAAATTTTGTCTAAATCAGGGAAAAGTTATGAAATTTTAGGACGAGAAATTCGCGGCAACTATAATTATTAAATGCAGACGCATGCTGATAGTTATATAAAAGATATTTCTTCTCTTATAACACTAACATGATAGCATTCATCCACTTCACTTCTTCGAAAGTACAAACAAAGCGTGGTGTCCTCAAGTTTAACAGAGAAATCCTGAAAATTCGTGCTGAATTTCATCTTCAGAACGTTCAAAGAAAGGATATATCTCCAGAGATCACTTTTCATCTTTCCTAATTTCAAATCTTTGACTTCAAACGAATGTATCGAACAAAGTTACTTGATTGCACTCCAGAGATAGTAATCTGTGATGTCTCGAATCTTCTACTTTACCTATTTGCGCTTTGGAAATTCCTACGTTTTTCTCACTGATTAGCCAGATGGGGGATGTTTCAATTTGCAGAAAATGAAGAAATTCCACCGCGAACTTACGAATCTCACTCTCTCGGGGTGACGAACGGGAAGCGATATGGCGAGCAACGCTTCGGCGGGCGGACTGGCGTCATGCCCGGTCGGATCGGCTAGCTTGTTCGTCGACCGACCAGCCGGTTGCATAGTGTGCATCGCCGCCTTGCCTGGTTCGCCCGGTGCCTGGCGTTTTGTACCTTTTGCCCCCGAAGGGGCCCCGGTTGTCTCTCGACCACACGCGGGTATGCTCGCCGACGAAAGTTCGAAGCTGCTTATTCACGTTCCTCTCGCTTCATCGCGATTCTCTCATCCCGGATCGGATGTTCTCCTATCGGCTTCTATTAGTCATTAGAACGATGATGTGGATCAACAAACGAGATTTACACGTTGTAACGGACGTGTATCTCTTGCGGCGACATCCCGCGGTTGACGCGTCCCTAAGATGTGAGGTGTCGATTTACGCGGGAAGATAATTCGCGGTTTAACGTTATCGTGATGGTTCGATTGGCAAGGAATGATATTTTGCGACTTTTATATTTTGTAATACGATCGTTGGGTAGTGGTCGACGGTAAGCTAAAACTCGAGACGTAAATTGATTTTCGAACGCTACACAGAAAAAAATGATTTTATCGAAGTGTCTTAAAATTTAACTAGATATTTGAAAATAATTTTACTGGACTAGTAAAATAATAATGCGAGAATCTTAAATATGATGAGCAATGTTGCAAAAAATTTTAATATCCTAACAATCAGTTTGAGTTTCC